GGCAGGTGCTATGAAGGGCCGAGGGCCCTGTCGGTGAAACATGACGCTCCTGAGACCCCACGATTACATCCATCTCTGATGAGGTGAGGATTCTCAAGCTGGAAGCAAGCAGCCCAGTGTGTAATGAATAAATCTGTTCCAGTGGTGCTGGCCGAGCATTTCTCTCACAGGCAACCCACTGAGCAACGTCCCTGAGGCAGTCCCTCTGAGTCTAATCCAGCCTGATAAAGCCACCGGGCTCAGCCCAGTGGCTCTGATTGATTTTGACACAGGCAGGACTCCTGTCAGTATTACAAATGGGTAGGTACAGCCACCGTCCAGCTGGAGCATCCCCCTTGCTACCAGAGCAAAGGTGTCCAGTCTCAAATTACCAAAATCTTTGCAAATGAGCCTTTCTTCTGCCCACCTGGTGCCTCACCGTGCCCAACCCTTCTCAGTGGTACTTCTTTCTTTGTATTATCCTCCAGGGCTGGATTTACAAGGAGGACAATGTGATGAGAGATCTCAAAAACAGCTTGTAAGAGCTGGCCAAAAGACTTAAAAGACCTGAATCCCACAGACCAGGCAGGTAGCAGTGAAACAGCAGAAACAGGAGCTGCAGGCTTCCCCGAAGAAGCGTGCCAGTCTACAGCAGGACACTTGGCACCCAAGGACACAACTCAATACACTTGTATTAGAGCACTGAGAATCAGCACTGGCTCCCAGAAAGGTAGTGCAGGAGGAGATTAAACCTGTGCTGCCAGGTCAGGGTGCTGCCTGCTTCAGGTAGTCACCTGGCTCCTGCCAGCTCCTGGTAGGACACATGGGCTGTTTTTCAGAGTGCACCTGCTCTGCTGATTTCAGTGGAAAGCAGCCCTGTAGAAACACGATTGCAACCACCAAGTAGCTTACTCAGAAGGCCACCTTTTCTCCCTGACCACTGACTCAGCTCTGAAACCTCCTCTGCATAGTGCTGTGCCAGTGTGGAGCGGCTGCATGCTAGCCAGAACGCAGAACAGTGAGGCTACCGCAGCTCAGGTGAGGCGTGTGTTGGGAAACAAGGGAGCTGGTATAGGCGAAGCAGAGCAAACATAGTACTGCCTGCACATAAAACCATCTTTTGTAGTTGTTTGTAGCACCCAGGGCTGGGCACAGATAATTTTGGAAGCTAAGCAGTTCCCAGATTGGCTGGTACTTTGCTGAGAGATGCAAGACAAGGAGTCAGGGTTGAGTCAAAGGTAGAGAGAGTGTGTTTTATTGCAGTGCTGAGCAGATAGAAAAATGAAAAGTAAGAGCAGCAGCAGGCAGGAGTCCCGATGCAATTCAGGCCTCTGTATGAACAACTCTCGCCTGAGCCGAGCACCAGTGACATGGGACAGAGTAAATCTGGAGCTTGGAAACAAGAGAACATTTCCCCCATCTAATTTTATTCACACTTGGTGTTTGCTCCACACAAGCACCAGCCTCCTGCAGGCAGGGCAGCCCACAGCAGTAATGGAGCATCTTTTATTCTCGTGCTGGACTGCACAGCTCTGCTAGAACATGACAACAGGGCAGTAGTAAAGCGTCAAATATGAGTAAGAACTGCAATATGAAATCCAAGCAACCCATTTATATTTTAACCAACACTCTTTGTGGTGTAAATAGTGAGAAGTGCCAGTTCTGACCTCCTGACAGCCTGGAAGCCCTCAGTGACAACCTGGGCCAGTGTGGGACATGAAAAGCATGTGGCTGATGTGATGAGCTCTAGTTTGCCCTGTTGATTCCTTGAAGCCTGAACACAGCAGTGGGGCTAAACTGGCTACCCCCAGCCACACAAGCCACTGTCAACTTGTTTTTCAGATAAAAACCTCTCTTTGTTTTAAGAGGCTTCATCTTTCAAGTACTCCAGCACTCCAACATTGCACTTTGTGTCCTGCTTTCGGGTTACTCTGCTGCTTAGATTTTGGGGCAGTTACCCCAGTTTACTGATGACTCACCTCACTGGATCCGACTCATCCACCTGCTGCTAGGGAACAGGGCTCCCACTTTCGTGTCAATCCTTAACCCTCTTGTCTCCATCTAGTGTCCAAATCACACTTTGATTTCTCTCCCAGCCTATGGAGAGACCTCCAGGCTTAATAGCTTGCATGCCACTGTGCTGACATCCAAATTAAGCTGAACAGGCTCAGGTTCCTGTCAGCACCCCCAACACCTCCTCTGAGAAGGCCCCAATTGCTTTCATGACCCTGTAATTTTTACCCAGGTGGAAAAAAGCTGCTGGACTGCTGCAATGCAAAGTGTAAGGAGTGGCCTGAAAGCTTGATGCTAATCGTAAGGATCCTCACCTTGTCAGGTTTTTAATAACATCAGGTTAATTCTTGCTTCCTATCTGCATGTGCCTCAGTCAGAGTCCCCATCAGAGGACAGAAGCTGTCTGCAACGTAGGGAAGCTTGGGGGGGGCAGGTTCAAAGAACCATGAAGGTATTTAGACCTGGTACCACTTGAGAAGTCCCATCAAGCACACTTCCTTTTTTGGTCCCTTTGGGAAGGCTCAGTTCAGCAGCCAGGGGCAATTCTACCTGGATTTGGGATAGCTCAAATGATCTCTCCATAGGGATGTGCAGGGAAAACCTGCTGAAGGCCCTCAAGCCTGCAGTAACTGGCATCTGCTGTCTTGCCAGGCTGAGTGAGAGGCACTTCATGCTGTCTGCACCAAGGAAAAGACTTGGCCCCCAAAAGAGAAACACACTGTGCTTACCTACTGTTCCTGGACTGAGGAGGAGCACTGAATGCAGCAGGAGAATGAGCAGAACGTGAAGGAGACGGCCATGACCTGTGCTACCATCCACATCCAGAAAAGCTACTTGCTCCAGACACTCCACACGTCGCAGATGAAGAAAAAGGGAAAGGGCAAGAAGGCCAAGAAATAAGCACAAAATCCATCCTCTGTCCTCCATTCTTTCCTCCCAGCAAGGCTGCTTGCTCCCCTGGGGCTCAGCTCTCCCAGATTACAAGCATTAACTGAGATAGCACTTGCCCAAGCCTGCCAGGGCTGGCTGTCACAGACGGGGTACTTCAGAGCAGTGGTGTGACAACATGTCTCACCATTTTAGGTCGAGCTCTGTTGCCTTTCAAAAGCAAGAATAACCTTTCTTGCCAATGGGACTGGACCAGGAGCGTCCCTCCTGACTTGCCTTCCTAGCTTCAGTGCTCTTCATGTGCTCGGGTGGGTCAAGGCCCAGTCCTGCTGCTCCTCAAGGTGACAATAAAACAACGTATGGGGGCAGAATGATGCCCTTAATCTGGCTCGGTTTGTCGTTGGATGAATTTGAGAGAATGCTTCCCTTTGTGTGGGAGGAGTTACCAGGCTCTCAGTGACTCCCCTGCGTTCCCTGACCTCAGCAGCTCATCACTGCAGCCTCCCTTCGCAGGGCAGCAGCGACACTGGCTGCAAACCCCAAGTCACCTGGCCTGCATCCTTTATCTGCCTCCCTACCTGTATTCCTACAGGCCAAGTTGCTCTTTCCCACCTCAGGAATGGAAATTGAGGAGGAGCTGTCTTGCTCAGCCAATCTTTGGAGATGTTAGCTGTGCCCAGATCGCACAGCAGCGTCCCACGGACCAAACACGAGGTACCAGACTTGGGAGTTTGCCTTGGATCATTTATTTGGTGACGAGCACGGTGTTGCTGTGAGAGCACCTCACAACCCTCAGTACAAACCATGGGATTACATGTCCACTCAGCACGTTCCCATCACCAGAAGCTGCTGGACGCAGCAGGACGCAGGGCGTCCTCACCTCTCTGCTCATCCTCTCTTCTCCTTCCTCACCAAAGGAGAGCATTAAAGTGTTGATGACATGGAGCAAGTCCAGCAGAGAGCCACCAAGACGGTCGGGGCTGGAGCACATGTCCCATGCGCAGAGGCTGAGGGAATGGGGCTCGATCAGCCTGGAGAAGGGAAGGTTTTGGGGGGCCTCAGAGCAGCCTCGAGGTACCTATGAAGGGGAGGTTACCATGAGGTTTGAGCCAAGCTGTGTGCTCAGGTGCAGAGCAGAGTGAGAAAGCAGACACAAACTGAAACAAGAAAGGCTCTGGCTGGATAAAAAGGGAAACTCTTCCACGCCAAGGACAGTCAAGCAGTGGGAGTGGGTGCCAGAGAGGCTGTGCAGCCTCCGTCCTCCAGGGTTTCCACCACCCAACTGGACAAACCCCTGAGCAGCCCATAGCTCACCTGCCTTGAGCAGGAGGTTGGGCTAGAGACTTCCTGCAGTCCCATCAAGCACAAGCAATCCTGTGATTATACGTGACAAACAGGATGAAGCAAAAAGTGGTCAGCGGAGGTCCCCATCAGGGCCCTCAGACCTTAACTGCCCTGGCCAGCCTTGCTTGGGACCTTCCACCCTGGTGGCACCCTCTGCTCCCTGGTTTGGGAGCTCCACCCCAGCTCAGGCCCTGCCTGTCCACCCCATGCTGCGCTGTAGATGTACCTGTGCCTAGTGCTTCTCCTGGACGGGCCCTGGACCTATTCTGTAGGCAGCCCTGTCTCCTGCAGTTCCAACTTCCCAGCTGGACTTCCTGGACAGAAGGAACCCGATTCATTACCGCACCTCGTCCGATGACCCCTGGACAGTCAATGGAAGCTGCTGTTACCATCAAGGCTGCTGCTCCAGTGCCGCAGTCACCCTCGGTTCCCAGTTTGTTCTCCTGCACGGAGCAGCCCCATCCTTCATCTGCAGCTGCAGGAGGTCTCAGGCTCCTTCTGGACTCGCTCACCAGGAGGTCAGGCCCCACCTGGGGTAGGCTAAGGCTGCGTTCACACCCAAGTGGCACATTTGGCTTCACTTCCAGGGAGGTCTGGGTTTGCAGCCACCCGCTGCCTGGGAGTTCATGGCCAAAGAAGGTCTGGAGATGCTTTTTGATCGACCTCGCATCAGAGGGCCTTGGCGGGTCACAGGGGCTCTCGGAGGGCTCTGGTTTTTACACCTTTCTGTCTTGGGATTGTCTGAAGCCAGGCAGAGCCCATCTGAGGTGGTGTTCAGCTGACTGAGAGACTGGGAACGTCCTCTGCTGGGAGCACCCCGGCCTTGGAAGCCCGAATTGCTCTCGGGACGCTTCCAGACGCAGGACTTGCCCTCATGGCCCGCCTCGAAGCCTGCTGTTGCTGGAGTCGCCGGGGTTTGCGGGTGGACGGCTCTCAAGGGCGTCCCTCTGGAGCGAGGGGAAAAGCTGGGCTGGTTTCGGGGGCCAGGCGGAGGGCTCCAGAGCAGCGGATGGAGCTTGGCCACGTCTTCTTTCCTCATCCACGGAGCTGCCCAGGCCGGACCCTCGGGCTTGGCACCAAACAGGGACTCGTCGCAGAAGGATGGAGTGTGGCGCCTCAACCTTCGCGGGGCGGCAAGGAGAAGGGCCGGGGCTTATTATGGTGGGCAACGGCAGCCCAGGGACGCGGCCGCTGCCCGGTGCTGGGGACTTC